AAACCCATCTGAACCAAAATTGGGACTATCCTTATCCCACCTTCAAAGCGTTGCAAAACATAAGGGACAAGAAACTTCAAAGTGTGTTCTTAGATATAACTTCACCAAACCGTTCAAACCACTGAGCATCAGATGAATTACTCTCTTCCTGAACAGGATGCTGCTGTTGCTGTTGCGGTTGTTGCTGCTGCTGCAATTTCGGTTGCTGTTGTCCCTTGTCAACCGCAAATTTAGCATAGTCAATGCCCTTTGAAACAGAACAATGTTTTGTGGGAGGTGCAGGAAGGAGGGAGACTAAAACCCGTGCAACCTCATGCATGGTTGGTCTCTCAATAGGGTTTCGCTTGAGGCACAGCAGAGCAAGTTGGAAGGTCTTCCTGACATGAGATAAATCCATGCAAGTAACAGAGACCTCTGGGTCAACAGTCTCCATTACTGTATTTGTATCCGCCTTCGACAATATCTGAGACAAACATACCTCAATGTTAGTATAGTAACATTGCCACCTAAATAGAACAAACATGAATCACAAACGTACCAATTGATGCAAGTTGGATTCCTTGTCCACAGCCTTTTTCCCAGTTAGTAGCTCAAGAAGCACAACCCCAAAGCTATACACATCAGATTTTTCAGTGAGCCGAGAAGTTCGAGCATATTCGGGATCAATGTAGCCAATTGTTCCAAGAACATAAGTTGATGCGTGGGTCTTTGCAGCTGGGATGCTTTTTGCAATTCCAAAATCAGAGAGATGAGCCACAAAATTCTCATCCAGCAAGATGTTAGAAGATTTAACATCCCTGTGAATAATTCGGTGGTTACAATCATGGTGAAGATAAGCAAGTCCCTGTGCAGCTCCAACAGCTATTTTCAACCTTGTTTCCCAATCAAGTTTAACCTTCTTTGCTGGTCCTGTCACGAACGTTGGCAAAAGAATCAGCAATTGACAATTAATCTCACAGCATATTCTAGACTCAAATTGTGCTTGGAGATATCACATGACGATATAACCTTAAATAAACTTAAAAAATATTCCTTCTGTCAGAAATAAGCAACAAGTACAGTGAAGCAAGGCTAACCATGAAGCAGATCCCACAGAGATCCGTTCTCCATATAGTCGTAGAAGAGGAGATTTCCATGTGGCGACAGTGAATACCCATGCAAGCTAACAAGATTTCTATGCTTGATACTGCCAATGGTTTCAAGTTCAGTCTCAAACTCCCGCATGTTGTCTGGATACCGATTGTAGATTCGCTTAATTGCCATTGGTCGGGAATTCTTCAGTACACACTTGTACACTGTGCTAGAAGCACCATACCCTATAATATACTTCTCATTGAGATTCTCAGTAATTCTCATTATATCATCAAAGGTGTGTATGGCCATATCCATGTGAAGGATTACAAGTGTAGGAGGACCTGGAAAGAAAATCAAATGTTAATTAGGTTGGAGGAATGAAAATACAAACAGAATTGTTACTTTAAAAATACGAAGGGTTTACATGCCTTGCCCACTCTTGCTAGATCCCATGACTAACTGCTTTGCTTGGTTGGATTTGTAAACCGCAACTACCACCATGGATAATACTGTGATGAAGCCCAATGTCATACAAACAACTGCTGTTCTGGAGAATATAGCTGAGAGTAGAAGTCAAAAGGATAATTTGTTAAATTCGGATGAAACCTAGATGATCGTGACATGCCTTAGATTCCATTAGCACAAAATAACGGAAAATAGTTAAAATTTACCCCTAGATTTTGCAGCACCAGGTCTGCATATTGATCCCAACCAGTCGCCACACAACAATGGGTTTCCAATAAAGCTGAAACACAAAACATTTTTACCACAAGCAAATATTTAAAAAAGGAATTAACCACATCTTTTCCCCCACGAACCTGTCTGGTGAAAAACGTGAAAAGTTCCTCATGGGAGGTATAACACCAGATAAATTGTTGTACGAGAAATTCCTGAAATTGTGATGAAACAGCATTCAAGAAGGGTTTAGGAAATACAAGAATGAAAATGGGAAAGATTCAAGAAACAGAACTCACAAGGTGGCAAGACTGAAACAATTGGTTAGCTGATCAGGTATCTTTCCATGCAAGTTGTTGTTATTAAGTATCCTACCATAATATGGCACAAAATAGAATTAATATGACAAAATATGTGAAGCATGAAAATTGGGACATGACGTGATAAAGCGGGAAAAGAGCTTACAATGCCGCAAGGTTCTGCAACTGACCCAATTCTGCTGGGATACTTCCAGATAGATTGTTATAAGACATATCACTGTAAGACATTCATTAAGGTACGAACATATCAGGAGGGCAAAGATATCAATAAAAGTCCTAATTACAAATAGTCCTAATAGAAACTTACATAATTTGAACACTCCTAAGGTTCCCAAATTCTGCTGGCAAAGAACCATCGAGATGATTATCACTCAAATTTCTGCAAGTAAACAAATCAAGAGTCAGGTGCCAAAAACAATGAACCTATATAGCAAGTACTTAATGAAGTAAAACTTACAGGGTGAGAAGGTGCTCAAGATCACCAACAGAAGCTGGAACAGGGCCTGAAAAATTATTCCTAGACAGATCCCTGGATAAATGTGACAATCCACTGTCACTCAAATCTGCATTAAAAGCTTGAGGCAACAAAACACATGACACCTAGAAACTTACAGTGTGTCAAGATTGATGATGCGTCCCAACTCAATAGCTATTCTATCACCAAAATAGTTTGATGACAAATTCCTGCAGGTCCAACAAATTTAATACTATCAATTTACAAGCAAGATCAATTGAACCCCAAGTGATAAACAAAGTTCAAAACAGCAGAACTCACAGATAAGTTAAACTCTGCAGATTGCGGAATGCCAGAGGGATAGACCCAGTCAAGTGGTTCCCATGTACATTGCTAAAATAAAATCAACAATCAATGAACATGAAACTCAATCAATATGCATAACATCACTGAAGTTCAATTAAAGTCAGAAATCAGATATCATACAATTGATTCAACGCCGTGCAGGAACTGATTTCATGTGGAATGGGACCTTCCAGTTCATTGTTGGCAAGATTCCTGACGCATAACATGCATGTCAGTGAAAGTAAAACTGGGATTAACAACAGGAATGGTGACAATAATTACTCACAACTCAAACAACTGCTGCAGCTTCCCAAGCTCAGCAGGAATTGTACCGAGCAATTTGTTGTCATTCAATTGTCTGCAGATAAAAGTTGTAAAGCAAATTCGGTCACACAGATTTAACTATTACATCTATAGGTTTGTATCATATAAGGCTACTTACAAATAGCTAAGTTTAGACATATTGCCAAGCTCAGGAGGAATTGGCCCAGTCAAATTGTTGCCATGGAGATATCTGAAATAACAAACGTGTTAAGACAAAATACTGAAGCATTCAAGGTGACTTTATCCCTCAAAGCAAGCCGAGCTTACAGTTTCCCTGTGTAGGACAAATTGCCAAGTATTGGTGGAATTGGCCCTACCAGTTCATTCTCACTCAAATCCCTGGAAGACAAATAGGAAATTAAAAAGCAAATTAACTCTCTACTAGGGAAAAAGAATATTGCTGCAAAAATCCTACTGGAATAAAATCCTAAAAGTTCAATTAAGCTCACTTACAGAACAGCAAGGGCCTGCATTAGACCAATCACCTCAGGGA